ATACAGAGTTAAAAGAGATGTCTTAATCGTGATCTGTTTATCTGTTGTTTTGAGTGTACATGTATGTAACATTTCCCACTGATCTGAGCCTTATTTGATAATTCAGCTCTTTGCTCCCTTCCTCAAGCAAATCCTAGAATTAGGTTCCAGTTGTTCTTTCTTTTGGTTAGATAATCAATTCATTCAAGCTTATGTGGAGTAGTATTCAATCATTTTGTAATACTATCTCTATGGAAATGGTGGGATTTTCACCCTTCACATAATTCCCTGTCCAAAACTCAAGGTGTTCACTTCCAAACTGTTTTATATACAGGAGTCCTGTGGTAGCTGGTGCAGTGGTGGCCATGGATCGACATTACTTCCAAAACACTGGAGCTTATGATTCTGACATGACGATATGGGGAGCAGAAAATCTGGAGCTATCTATAAGGGTAAGAACCTTAATTAAAACATCAAGCTGTGGTAACTGTTGGGCTTAAGGAACCTGAATGAAAAGGCAAGAAGCAATTTATAAAAGCAGTTAAGTGCAGAATGTCTTGGGGCATGGAGAATATCACTTTCCTCACAGAAATCTATCCCCACGCTCTGTGATCTGTCAGGACTATACAAGAACATGCAGCTGCTGTGAGTTAGGAGCGTTATGTCAGGAGAAGTAAGTTTCACTGGCTATCACTATCTGCCTGAGGACAGAGTCACTGGTTTCAGCACCTTCTGAAAGCTGCCTCTTCTTTTTTGGCATGTAACATGCACCAAAGGAAGAGTAGCTTTATTTCTTTGCCAACCTGTAGTTTTAATACCAAATTATTTATATTAAATTGTTTGCATTGATTTTTGCTGAATACAAAGAGTAACTGATATTAAAAAGCAATGAAAATAGCAGACACAAAGGGTATAGAGTCTTTAATATCCCAGACAAAAGAAGGTGTGCCCGCAGGTCTCTTCACTACACTGCACTGTGCACAGAAAAACATAAAAGCATATAAATAGCCATACTGGGTCAAATCAAAGGTCTGTCTTGCCCAGTGTCTTCCCTGTGTCTCTGTGTCTGTGGGGAGCAGTGCATGAAGAAGCACATAATAATGCTCTTGCTGTTTCTAGCAATGTGCAGATTAGGATTTCCTGAGGCAGAGTCTATATTAAAGGAGCTTCTCCTTTTTAGATAAAGGTAATCTAAATAAGGTAATCTCTTTTTGTGCTTTCACCTGTGTTTCAGACCTGGCTCTGTGGTGGCTCTGTAGAAATCATTCCATGTTCCAGAGTTGGGCATGTCTATCGAAATCACTTTCCCCATGCTTTCTCCTATGAAGAGGCCACTGTGAGGAACAAAATCCGAATAGCAGAGACCTGGCTGGGCTCTTTTAAAGAGAACTTCTACAAGCACGACACAGTGGCTTTCTTAATCAGCAAGGTAAAGACATCTGTAGTGGTTTGTTTCTGAGGGAAGGAGTGTGTGTTGACATAGGTGAAGGGGTGGAATAGAGGCGGGGGTGTCTGGGTGCAGTCAAACATTCAACATGCATGGTGCTGGGGATAGTCTTTTTATGAAACCTTCCAGTGGAAGAGCTGTCAGATCAGGAAGGAGAGAGAGAAACGTGTGCCTAGGAGTGGTTTGCTGAAGTTATCAAATCTCGTAGAGTATGACTCCTTCTCCAAATGACTCCTTTTTCAGCTTGCCCAACAAGCTGTGATTTATTTCTCCACCGATAGTACATGGAGGGTTGCAGTGCATCTGAAGTGGAAGCTAGTAGCACTGTGTGCTCAAAGGGCCTTCCTAGAGGATTCATTCTGCGTTACTGAAGGTCTTCCTAGTGTGATTCATGAGGATATTCAGTAATATTCATGGGCATGTGGCAAACTGTGGTATCTCTCCTACTGGAAGGGAACTTCTCTGAGTGGTCTAGTGACAAAAAAGGTGATTTTTTTCCTGAACTGAGAGACATCCAGGAACAACTGTCTGCAACTGAGAAAGTCGGACCTCAACATAGCCACTATTTACAAGTTACTTTTTCATTAGAAGCATTGCACAGACAGCAGTCCAACCTCCAGGGATTTGGATTCCCAGCAAGTCTGTACGCTGAGACAGGCTTGCAGCCAGGTGTGTGGCATAGCCCTGGCATGCGGCCACACTTGAACCATCTACAGGCTACATACCATCCAACAACTACAGAACGGCCGGCCACACTTGTTTTTAAGCCACTGTATAATCCACTGCAGATCAGGACCAGTCAAGGGACTGTATATCCCATGTATTACAAACCAGTGGATGTTTGTTTACTGGGAGTCATGCAGCTGTGGTTAATGTCGTTAATGTTTTTAATGTTAAGTTGTTAATAATGTGACGTTGTTAACGTTGCTGCAGTTCTCAGGAGTTCTCTGGCTCCAATACTTTTCCTACAAGGCAGTGGACAAACTTGTGAGCAGTTGTGAATGAAAACGTGTCATTCATCTTCTTGCTCGTTTAACAATGCCATGCTTTTAAGAAGAAAAAGATTCACTGAGAACAGTTAGGCAGAACACGGGTAGGTTCTGTGCAAACTTTCCCGTTCAGTTTTGCTCTTGCATTTCAGTCCTGCATGCTTCAGTCATTGCAGTGCTGGCCATCGTCTAAGAAAGCCAGATCCAGCAGGAGCTGCATTCTGGTGGGAAGAGGAAAAGGGCTGTGCATCAGCGTGGCTTCTCTCCTGTCACCTGGTCTGACCTCCTTGAACTCCACCGGATCTGCCTCTCCAGTCATCCTGCTGTGCTAATCCTAGAGTCTGTCGCGTTTCTTTTTTTATTCTATTTTCACATTTTTTAAAAAGCTTCTCCCTCCTTGTCTGTGTTGTAGGTTTGAACTCCACTGGCCAGAAGTTTGTCAATTGACTCACAAGGGTTACGGCCATGTAATTGAAAGGAGGACAGTAGGCCAAGTCTTTTAAGATGGGCAGTTAGGTCCTTAAATCATTTAATAATTTCCTGAAGGCCTTTCATGTCAACTCAGAAGCAATTTTCTGTACTAAAAACTACAGCCACCAATGATACGGTTTACTAGCTGTAAGCACCATGACCTTTTGCCTGAGAGTTTATTCTAGCCAGAATACTTTTAGTACTTCTAAGTATGATGCGCCTTCAAATGATCAATTTTACGGTCTCTGTGCTCAGCATACCATAACATAAAAGGCCCTTTTCTCTGTTCCTTTCTTTCACAGCCAATATTTTCAGTATGTCAGTGCACCGGGATGTTATTCAAAAGACACAAGCAAGCAATGACATTATTGCCGCTCAGCTGCAGATGGGCCCTGCGGGGATTTATTGCACTGAGAGGGTGAGCGGAGCCACCTATTGGCCACTACAAAAATCTCTGTGAGCCTTGACCGCCGACATTGCCCACTGCAGAAAATAACTAGTGACCCCTCGTTTAGGTTGCTTTATAAGTCTTCCCATTTTATGGTTTGGCTCGCATCCTGCACAGGATGCCAGTGGTGTGAGCGTTAATGCAGATGTATAAGGCTCTTCCCAGCTCTCTACTATTTCAGCCACCGTCTCTTTTTCTCCTTTTCTTGTGTGGTTTGTTTATTTAATTTACAAGCACAGTTTCCTTTCAGATTGGTTTACAGGGATAACGACTTTCTTTACATTATTTACACCATTTATTCGCCATCAAATGCAGTCCGTAACTGGTATGACAGAATGAGATTTACTGCCATCATCTTCTTCAGCCAAAGCAGAGTCTCATGAGAAACATCTCTTTTTAGGGAAAGCATTCTACTTCTCTATTTCCCTTTCCCAAGAAAACCTCTTGGGGACAGGTTTGTGTGGTGCTGAATTGCTGAACTTTGTTGTTACGCTTATTGAATGTAAGACTGATACTAAACTATGAGGTTCTCTTTAACATAAGCTGCTTTGCCTGTGCAGCTTACAGGGCCCGGTGCCACATGGCATGATTGATCCCTGCCTTTGGAAACTGATACCTCTCCCTTGATCTCCAAGGCCCTTCATTTGTCAGTGTTTTCCAGGCATGTCGCGAAGTCCTTTTTTCTTTCTTATGGATGCAGAGAAATGGGCAATTCTTTGCTTATGTTACCAATTTTAATTTCTGACATAGGAATCCAGACCAGTTTCCTGAAATCCATTTTTAAATGGATTTTTAAAAAGTAGAAATGTGAAGGGGGAGATCTACTGCTGGCAAGAAAGAGGAGGGAGACTCCTAAGGGTGGTGAGATATTTTTAGTATTTGGGCACTGAGAGATTTAGAGAAGTGTTTTGTGTGGTTTTGGAACTGAAGGATTAGACATTTACCTGCTTAGAGGATTTCAGAACCCATCTGAAATATGGTCTGAATGTAATGGCTACCGGCCATCTTCAGTGCTACATACCCTCAAATATTCACGACTGTCAGTCCTCTGCAGTGCAGATGCCCGTAGTTGCACCAAGCGTTGAAGGCACTTGTCTTTTTTCAGAACAGAATTCCTACCAGGAAGGGTGAGAATTTGTATTGTGTGTATATAATTCGAGAAAACGCATAAATCATAGGAAAGGTTTTATGCCTTTATAGCTGCGAAACACATTCACTTACTAGATTTAGTAACTGTCAGATAATAATGTGATAGACTATATTTTGGGCTAAATTCCGTCATCACTTACATCCTCTGATCATGGAGGACTGACAGTAACTGGGTAATTTGGGCTGTTAAAGGCCAGGAAATTGAATTTTAATCAGCGGGGCAAATTCTATACTGAATGACAATCTAATACAATCCCATTGATTTCAGTGCAACAAGTATCAAACTTGGCCCTGACTTTTTTAATTAAAAAGATGACAAAGACTGACTTATCTTGCAGTATAATAAACATTTTTAGAGGAAATGCTTATTTTCACAGTGTATGCTACTTCTGAAACATTTACTTCTGTCACAATGCCAGACTAAATGCTGTTTTAGCACAAAGTTGGAGGAAGGCTATAGCTGGTCCTCCTCCTTTGCGTACTCATGAGAGATATATAGCAATATCTATAACATGCAGGATAGAAGAGGTGGTAGAAATAATTCCTATGTAGTCATTTTCACTTCTAGCATCTCTAACACAAATACACTAGTAACCTTGTTGCCGCTATGCTTTTTCCATAAAGGCAGAGAAGCCAGACTGCAGTGAGCGCCTTCAGCTACACAGGAGACTGGGCTGTAGAAATTTCCAATGGTTTGTATCAAATGTGTACCCTGAACTCTCCCAACCTGAAGACACACCAAGATTCTCTGGCAAGGTAAGAGAAAACACACTATAAAGATTGACTAGTGTTTTTGCATTGTTCAAAGACCCCAGAATCCAGTCCATGTACTAAGTACTCAGTAAGCATACAGTGAGAGGCTGTTCCTGCTTTGAAACGTTTATTGTCCAAACAGACAATGCAACAATGATGGGAGGAGAAAGAAAAGGACAGAGGAGACAAACAGCTGGTCCAAATTCTCACATAAATGCTGAAAGCCAGCCAGGAGCTGAACCCAGATTGTCTGACTCAGTTCAGTCACAGCTCAGAGGATCCTAACCTTAGGTTCTTTAGGTGCCATTAGTAAAGGAAAAGAATTGTGTTACCTCATGCAGATGGCAGCCGCAACAGCAGCTGGGATATCTCTGTGCTGACCCATGTGGGTGAAGAGAAAAAAGCATTTCTTCAGTCCTGCACTTCCCCCAAGGGCAGAAGTGGTAGCAATAGCAGTTCCTTGGCTGACTGTGTACAGGAAGCAATATTCTCAATGTTTTTTTTTAAAACACGTAAGTTGATAATTATCATTCATTAAAATATGAATTTATTCCAGGCAGCCTTACTGGAAGGGATTTTCCCCCAACAAGGCAACAACGTCCACTAATTAAGTCATACTCTGCTATCTGTAGCCAGATTTTACTGTGTCCTTTTACTATTTTGTCTGCCTTTATTATCAAAGTTTGCTTGAGAAGAGTGTAAGAACTGAGTGTAGATCACAAGAATTGTCACATGTTTTTTTTCTTCTGGAATATCTTGATTTTTTTCTGACTACAGTGTCCACTTGAAGTGCAATTTTCCATTAGCATAAAAATTTTGACAGATTTCTTTTAACTATCATAATAGTTAAAACCAGAAGTGGGTATCTCTAACTTAAACAAAACTCACTGGGTAACACTGACCTTTGGTGAGACTCTGCCTTTTATATCAGATCAATTTGCAAGATCAAGATGCAAGATTCAGTCTGAAAGAAAAAAATATTGCCTGAATTACGAGCAAAAACATATATCATAAAGGGATATAATCACAAAAAAGTTAGCTGAAGGATATTTTGTTTGTATCTGATTGTGCTTTATTTCAGTGTAAACCTTTACTTACAGCTTTACAATACTGGTGTTGGCTTCTGTGCAGATTACAGACCTGCAAGAGCCATTGCAGAAGGCTCTATCGAACTCTCCCCATGCAGTGACAGTCTTACCCAGGTACTGTATACTTTAAGTATATAGGCACTGTATCAGATCAAGGGAACCATCCAGAAGACAGTGACTCCAACATGTAAATGGCTGGGTGGACATTAGTGGAAATACTGATGTGTTCAAAATTAGGCATGTGCTAAGGCAATGATGCCCACTCTTCTGCAGCTGAGTTTCATTTGAAAAATGGCAATGATGTTCCATGTGTCACTGAGGCCACATACCCACACTTTGCTCCAGCAGACATCATTAAGTGTCTATTTGTTAGTATATTTGGTAGTGTCTGGAGAACAGAAAGCCTGGAACTAAAAAATATATAACAATTCTAGAATAATGGGGATGGGTTTCCCCGTCAGTGCCTAAAACCGCAGTTTAGTGCCTAAACTGCAGTCAAAGACGGGAGGGAAATTCATGTAGACTCCCAAGCTGGTATTAGACTAGCAAGTTCATGCATTAAGAGAAGCCAAACCAATACAGACCAACTGCAGATATTTATTTCAAGTCCCAAGAAAGTTTTTCTGCTCACACTGAGCTCAGGGTGAGCTGCAGGCACATTTCTAATTGCAATGTGTACGGACACTGTCAGAAACACCCTTCTGTTCAAATATTTATTAAACTAGAAAATTTTATTATAGGATGGGTTTACTTTATACATAATTACAGTCCACAAAGCCTTTCCTTAGGTAAATAGTTATGCTGGAATTACCTAGCAGGGGGGATTGCTTTGCAGGGTCAAGGCTGTTGGGTCTCCATCACTCATGTTTGGGTTGCATCTTAACAAACATGTACAGGAAATTATTTTTTGAATTAGCATTTTAAAATTAACTGGGATGTCCTTCCATCGTTGTTCAAACAAACCCTCCCTTTTCCAGCACTTTGAATATAACAGCATGAAGGAAATCCGGCTTGGTTCTGCTCCGCTCTTTTGCTTTGATGTCAGACACGGGAAGGTTATCCCTCAAAACTGTACAAAGGAGACAGCCACCAGCCACCAGCACTGGGATGTCCAGGAGGTCAGTAGTGACTTCTGCCATGAGGGGAGGGCAGCTGACGGTGACTGTGGGATCACTGGCTGATTGACAGGATTTGTGTGTGGGGAAGGGATGAGGTATTTGAAGGGCAAGTTTCACTTCTGTATCATTTTCACCCAGGAAATTTAGGATGCCTCTTGCCCATTTACACTGTCTGTGTGGAATAAATTTGGTTTAAAAATACGAATTACAGGAATCCTACCTAAATTCATATGTCCTTGTTTTAACCGTTTGTCTTACTGGCCTTACAGGAATAGAATCAGAATCAGTGGTTGTGAAAATAAGAGCAGGGCAAATCCTTGCTCACTTCTTCTGGATAGAGGAAGGGTCTGGGAATCCTGAACCCTCCCAAATGAGAGCCCTTTGGGAGTAGGGGAAACATCGAAATTCCTCCTGCATTCTAAGAGAAGAGCAAACTTCCTATCAGAGGAATCCAGTGTTATTATAGAATCATAGAATCATTAAGGTGGGAAAAGACCTCTAAGATCATCGAGTCCAACCGTCGACCCAACACCACCATGCCCACTAAACCATGTCCCTAAGCATCTACACGTCTTTTAAATACCTCCAGGGATGGTGACTCAACCACTTCCCTAGGCAGCCTGTTCCAATGTTTAACCACTCAGTGGTTCCATTCAGTGGACTTCACCCAGCAGAGCAGGAACTCCTCTACAAGACTGAAAAATGTCATGCTCCAGAACAGCCTGGGAAAATAGCAGTTACTGTAGTTATAGGGATGCTGCAATCCTCTGGTACAGTTCCTACTGTAATTTGTTTTGATTCTTAAGGAAAGCACTAGTCCTTTTGAAATTTTGTGGCCTGTAGTACTGTAGTTGATGCTGTTGACAACCTGTACCCCTAGGAAACAAATAGTGGTGGAAAAGAGATTTATTGAATTCTGCACCTACCACTCCTGTCAGCTTCGAAAGGAATTATGAGCCCAGGGCCCACTCACCATGCCCTGGGCTCAAAGCTAAACCTAGTCATTATGTCTAGAGCAATACTTAAAAAATTTTGAACAGTCATTACCGGTGATCTATTGTATGTAAAAAGTTTCAGAAACATGGCCTAGCTTTTACTGGAAATCCCTTGGTTTTAATTTGTTCTTTCTTTCCCTTCTTCTCTCATCTTGTAGAATGGAATGATTGTCCATGTCCTTTCTGGCAAATGCATAGAGGCAGCGAAGAGTGAAGATGAGAAGGACTTGTTTTTGTGTGTATGTAACAAGAATGCAAATCAGGTGTGGCAATTTGAACGTTCCCATGTGCTACATCAGAGATGACTGACAGGTCTCTGTGGAGGTCAAGTCTCCAAAATTTAACATTACTTTTGTTTGGGATTTAAGATACATTTCCTGCATGGACAAGAAGGATGTTTGTGTTTGCTGTAGCATGCAGGGAAGTTAGGAAGGTCTCTCCTTTGAAAGCCTGGCTCAAATAGTTGCTGCCGGTTCCTGGTTTATTCAGCTCTAGCTAAAATTTCTATTTATTCCGTGAAGCAGGGAGTAAAGATACTGTGAACATCAATAGATTCTCAACTCTGCTATTGCAGAAGACAATTAAGTTTGCCCTTTGAAGGAAACATGGAAAGTTGGCTGCCAGACAGCTTGTTTTTAGCATATTCTGTGACTTCTGAGGATACAGGAAAAGGAATATTTGTGGAACTTTTGAAACTGTAAGAGGAAGCCAGCCAAACCAGGATAAGAGTTTAGCCTTGTTTTACAGTGCACTCGACTCGTATAAAACAAAGTAGGTTTTGTATGCATAAAAGTAGTAGATGTTTTCACGTGTAATAGCTAAAATTTTGTTTTCCAACTAGCCTGAGCCAAATTTCTACCCTCTATGAGATTGCACAAAGCATAAATTAGCACTTAATTAGGCACTAACTGCTCTAATTGACTTGAAATACCAACAGTCCTCAGCGTTTGGCACACCCTTCCTTAAGTCCTTCGTCTACAGTCTAATTTGGATGGGAGAATGAGACTGAAATATTAACAACTTTTTTTTTTGTTTTAATGAAATTTAAGAACAGCTCTTCAGGAAACTTCTGTGGAATATGGAAGAAGATTGAACTAGATTAGAAAAAAGGGTAACAACTTCCCTGCTTATTTTGAAATGGAAAGTATCGGTGGCATCCATTTGCTCTTATATAGCTATGGGATGAGCTCATTATTATTCCAGTGACAAAAGTGCTGAGTGAAAACAGCAAATGAAGGGAAACGGCCCGTTTCAACAGTGGCTACCTAGGAAGAAAATACCGGTGCCTACTTCCACTTGCTTGCAGCCTGAGTTAAGTCTTTCACACTGTCACTTTTAGCCAAGAGGATCTTTTAGATTCTTGCTGTCGTGGGTCTCCAAGCTGATCCTCAAAAGACAGTAGCATACAAAATTTTCTAAACAAGCTTGTTCTGCAGAGCCTGCATCCCTGCTGACCTCCTGTCTTTCAAAGAAGTGAATGAGAGTTGATGTTGGGTAATGAGAATGGTCTCGTACAGTATGCACTAGGAAAGCAAACTTCTATCAGTATTTTTGTTAGGGCACTTTCAATTTTAGAGTTAAAACCAACAACGATGACACTTTCCAAGAGCCTGCTAAGATGTGGGAGTCTTCCCACATCAGCACCACACCTCATTTATAGTATAAATCAGTCATAACCATATGTATTTATTAAAGGGGAAGGGCATCATTAATAAAAGTTAATTTGTTTTTGAGATTTTTTTCAAGAGACAGAAAATTGGGTTTTTTTTAAATGTACAGCACATTGTTTGAACTTTAGAGAAAGGAAGGAATAATAGAATATTCTGCCCAGAGCCTTCCAGTCACCTGCTCTTGGTAAATCATAATAAATTTGTTTCAAGCGTATAAAATTGGTTACAACAGAAGACACGAACAGCATTCTGTGTTGTGTTGTCCAAAACATTTCCCAGTGCGGTCTGTGTTTGCTTTGAGTGCTACAGATTCCACACCATGTTCAGGCATCACTCCAATCACCCTAATTACCACTTACTCTTCCTTTGATAGCATCAGAATCTAATACCATTTGCTGCTGTGTCATTTAAAATTTCCTGTGACATTCTTGAAAATGCTTCAACTTTCAGCTGAAAGGATGGTAGCAACTTCTTCCAGAACACCAAGTGATCCCTGATCATTGCCCAAATCTAGGGTGAGAAAAGAGAATTTCTAAAATTGCATAAAAGCTGAGTGAAATGCTGTTTTAATGACATGTGATGCCTTTGTTTTAAATTATTAGTATGCCAGATTTTTTAATTATGTATTATTTATTATATTTTGGACTCTACACTGGGAATATCATTCCTTCAGCATTTAGCTTAATGTTTAAAAAATGTGTATACGAATATGATAATTGATCACAAGTGGGATTTATCACAAAGAAGAATGAAAATATTTTTGGTTTAGAGAGGAAATGTTTGGAATTGAATTTAAGAGATGTGGACATCCTCATCTTATACTGCTTTTTAACATAATGATAAAAACCTAGAAAATAAGGTTTGCTGTAGATATATGTACAATAGAAAAATATGTTACGTAATACCTCTTCCAACAATAAAATGAAAAGATATGGTTCAGTACCGTTTAAAAAATAATTTTTATTTTACTTGTTGCTTTTAGTAACAGTGTAAATGTGTGCTTGGTTTCCAAGGGAACTAAACTCCAGAGCACAGGCCAGAAGGGAGCTGCAGTGTGGTCTAGGAGGTGTCTGTATGGGGACAGTCAGGGGACACGGATTGTGGGCCATACCGTGGAGCACACTTCCCTCTAATATAAACGTAACTTGTTATTACACAAAAAAACCAAAGGGAAAACGTCTATCCCCTGTTTTTCCTAGTTTCCTTCCTGTATGCCTTTGAAATTGATTGGTTGGTTGTACCAATATTGTTTCCCCATTGTGGTCATTTACATTTTGCCCCTGTGGTTAGATCCATCAACTAGACCCTTCTCCTCATGTAGGTTGTACAGGGGGCTCAACAGAGGGTCTCTGCTAAGCATGCTAGTGTGTTTTCCCCATTTTTGCCCATCTTTCACACACTAGCAGACAGCGACACTTTGATCATGAGCTGGAATTACTTTTCGCTCTGCATTTAGACACAGACAACATTTCAGGTTCCTCTAATTCCCATTGACGGGAGAGAAGAGTAAGAACAAAATGTTTCAGGCAAGAACGGAGTAGCAGTTTTAACTTTGAAGGCCTCCGAAGCAGGGCCTGGGGCAAAAGCAA